AAAAAAAAAAAAAAAAAAAAAATGGAGAGAGACAGAAGTAAAGAAGGAAGGAAAGAAAAGGGAGGAAGGGAGAGAGGAAGGAAGGCAGAAGGCAAGAACCCATTCAGGAAATGTTAGCTAACAAGAATACCTTACTCAGAAAGAAGGGACAAATGCATAAAAAATGCATAAACTTTGTGCAGGTTAATGCAATAGTAAACACAGTACAGTACATAGGCCTCATAATACTTTTGTAATGGCATATATATACATAACGTCTCTAGCATTTTTAAAAAATATGCAGGGACTAAGTAAGGATCATTCTAGATAAAAATACATATTTCTTAAAGGGGTAGGGGGAGGGAAGTATGGTCTCAGGGCAGATGCCCATAGATATACAAAAATGAAAGTACACTTTTTGGTAATTCTACTGGATATGTCAGCAAAAATTGTCATAAGGATGTTGGCTGGTTTTGAGAGGGTTATTTTCACATATAGCCTTATAGCTGTATTTGTAAAAAAAACTTTTGTGAAAAGTTTACTTGATTAACCCTGTAAAATGTCTGTATTCAGATCTCTTTCTAAGACAAAATAAAAATAGCAGAGTTGTGAATGGGTAAGGGATATATGCTTTAAAGCAGATGTGAACCTTCTCCGGGTCCCTCTCACACAAAGAGATACAGGTTCTTAAATAAAATAAACTTCCTTAAAAATCTGCCACCTAACAACTGTTTACATCATAGAAAAATAGCATTTTTGTAAAAAGAAATATAGTTACTTTGTTAAAATGGTCTATTTTAAACCGCAATTATTTTTCATATAAAGAATTTCTAAACATCCATACAGGAAATAAAAATAGATAATACCAAGCGCAAAGCAGACAATGGATGTTTGTGAATGATCAAAATATTTCATTACTAGATAAATAATATTCTTAGTACATTACGGCAAGTTTTAATCTTGGAGGAACTTAAGAAGATATTGCTTTTAGTCTCTGATGGCAAGTTACTCATAAGTGAAGTTACTTCCAGCAGCAGAAGGCCAAATTGATTAGAAATGGATCAGATATATTCATTCACATTTCCCCTAAATTCAAAGTGCAGAAACAATGGACAATGGCCTATGTCCCAAACTCCTTAACATGAGCACGGACCACAGACCCTGGAGATACAAAGGGGAATTTATGACATTCACAAGTCCTTTCAAAAATCATTCACTCTATTGTCCATGTTCAAATTGTCACAGAACCAGGTTAACACCAAACATTTTACATTTTACCAGCTTGGCTAAATCCATCACGCAGGAGAGTCCATGTGACTCTTTTCTAAATATAGATATTAACTCTTCATTTATAAAAACAGACGGTTTCAAAGGACTACTCCTTTACTTCCACAAAGTGATTCTGTAGGCGTGTCGAGTCTCCTCATAGCGGTGGTAAGGATGTCACAGGGCCTAACGCCAGCAGTTTCCAGCTGATGCAGGGGTGAACTGGCTGACAGTATCACAGAAGGCTTAATTCGCAAACACAGTGGGTGCACTTCCCTGGCATCTCGTCACACCCGCTCCACTCTGCTAGGGTCATATGAATCTGTAAAAAGAGAAAGAAAAAAGAAAATTAGTGGATGTTTAACTGGTCTGTTCCTGTTTAATCTTCAGACCACAGATAAATATGTTTAGGGAGCAAAATCCATTTCAACAATCTTATTTTCACTAAGTAAAAAACTATCATCAAAAAGCTATTTTAAAGGGGCATGTATGATCATTACCTAATCACAAATGGGAAAATGTGAGTTGCTTAACAGTTTGATGGTCCCTTCCTGCTGTTCATAGTGAAGCATAATTAACTTTAAGTGCAATGCCTGTTAACCAGCAGTGTTGTGCTTGGCTGATGCCAAAGATTGTCTAAATTTTTTTTTTGGTAAATTACAACTCATGAAAGTTTGCTTTGCAATGTACATCTTCGTGATCAAATGCTGTCACTGGAAAACTTGAGGACCCTGAAATCCTGACGACTTGGCCTCCTGCCTGTGACTGCCTCCAGCTAGCAGGCAGGCCCAGGGTTGGACACAGGCCTAGGCCTGTTAGCACAAATCTGGGCTTTTCCACACACAGGTGAATATGAGTCTGGGTCACCCACAGATCCATTCTATAGCCCACACTGGAAAACCCTAAACTGGGCCCAGATGTCCTAGGTTTCCCAGACGGGACACCACACAAAAACATATAGTCCGAAACTGCCATCAGTGCTGCAGCCGGGCGATGCTGACTTTTACCACCTGGGAGGCACAGATCTCTGGGTCCAGGCAAACCTGAAGCTCACACGTACATGGGCTTCCTATGGTCAGAAATTCCTGCCACAGCAGCTCAAAGGTTTCCTAACTATTTAGAAGAGAACACAGAAGAAATCTGGAAGGATGGTACAATTTGATAGTTATAAAAAGTATTACAAACAATCGCTTCTCAAGTAATCTGGAAAACTGTGTGTTATGAGGACACACAGATCCCAGTGTCTTCAGCAACACAGCCTCCTTGCACCTGCTTGACTTAGCCACGATATATTTACGACACAAAGCTACAACTGTGACAACTGAGACAGTGCCTAGAGACTCTGAGTCTGACACTATAAACCAGATACTGTAGTCTCTACATTTGGGAAAAAGAGTTTGCTGCTCCTCAAAGGGATTCACTGCACCAAGTGCCCATCAGGCTAAAGCCAGCGGAGTTCCCAGGAGTCAGTGCCTTCTGATTTCTCACCGAGACCACCACCCAGTAGGACAAGAGGATGTTAACAACTGAGCATCACACTTCTGTGCTCCACCAGCCTCACCATGAACTGATTCTGAGGGACCGCCTGTGAGCAGAGGTCTTCTCCACTGAGAATGAGGTGGGCGGTCACTCATGGTGACTCAGGAAAAGGCGCACTTCAGCTGGTGAGAGGCCGGGAAGAGGCTGAGCATCTATGAAGCCTCAAATCATATAGACACGGGCACTAACCAGTCTGCTCAGGCCAGGCACACGGGGACACAGAACGTACCTGCACCCCACAGCCCTACTATTGAAGATAAAGGCCCAGAGACAGAGAACAGGAAGATAATTCTGCAGAACATGAGCTTCTTCCTCGGACCATAGACGGTCTAGGTCCATTAAAAATGAACCACATAACATTATTTTACATTTTCTAGTAGCCATGTTAAACCAAATAAAAGGAAAACTGGTGAAATTCATTTTAATGCTGTATTTTATTTCACCAAATAGATCCAAAGTACCACTTCAACAGGTAATCAACATAAAAACTGAGAAATTTTAGATTATTTTTGTACTAAGCTTTGAACTCTAGTCTGTATTTTACATGTACAGCCCATCTCAGTTTGTATGAGCCTCATTTCAAGTGCTCAGAGCCACATGTGACAAAGACTACTACACTAGGCAGCCCAGGTCTAGACAACAGAGAGGTTACCTGAGGATTTGGAATCCTGGCTCCTGTGGGCAATATTTCATGTGAAGAGAAGTCACTAAGCCTGCACTAGTGAATATTTCATATATGAACACCCCTTTAAAGATGTGTTGACATCTAGCTTTCTAATAGCATTATGTGACATCATGAAACCTTCCCAGATTTCCCCCACTGTGGCCTGAGGCAGAGTCCCTCCTCCCATACTTGCATGAAGAGAGTACATGGAAGTTAATGGAACCAGCAGGTTCTGAACACTGTCAGTGACTAGGATTACATTCTGAATTGGAATATAATCCATCCAGTGGAGATGTGATTCTGTTCCCTTAGTTCTGAGCTGCTGATTTCTTAGCCAGAGCCCAAAAAAGCCACTGAAAAGATGTTAGCTGAAATGCCCATCTTTAAGCTGAAGTAAGGACACTTTATGATGATAGGTACCACAATACAACATAGATAATAGCATTCTGGGTGTGGGGGGAATTTACAGATAAACATGGTATATTCTTGTTTTTAAATTCCATAACAAAATCTAAATTTGAGTAGGCTGTGCATTCAGAAGCAGTGAAGTGGTTCTGACACATTGGGGTGATGGAGGCAGGGGTGGGGTAGGGATAGAGATGAGGATTCTTGTGTTTAAAATAAAACTTAGCAAGCCCTTACCAGAATGGTTCAGTTAGTTGCAGTGTTGTCCCATGCACAGAAGGGTTACATGTTCAATTCCTGGTCAGGGGCACATACCTAGGTTTTGGGTTTGATCCCATTTGGGGCTCGTACAGGAGGCAGCCAATTGATGTTTCTCTCTCTCCCTTTCCTTTCTCTAGAATCAATTAATGAGCATGTCGTCCAGTGAGGATTAAAATAAATAAATCTTAGCAAAAGGAAAACAAAGTCCAAGTTTACCAGCAACAAAGCAACAAGGCTTTATTCTAATTTGTAAAGCAACACTACAGAGAAAATTTAACATTTGTGAAAAGTTTTACTACCTCACTCATGTAACTTCTCCAAAGAACTAATTTGAATATTGAGGCCTGATGGCCTTCACATAAAAGGCCGATGGAGTTTCACATGGGCTGCTGCACGTGTAAGAAATCTTCCCTAGTGGTGTCCTGCTATGCAATTACTTATGAATGCCTGAGGTAGCTGTCTGTCATCATTAGTAGCTCTCTGCCTTCAGATTTTTGGTAATTTTATTATGTATTAACAAATGCATCAGAAGAAGAGAAGAAAAAATATTTCTACTCCTTAATAACTATGGTTTAAACAAATAAGGTCACAAGGAGCTGTTTTTAATGGCTGAATAAAATTAAAATTGGCATTATTTAGGTGTTTTCAGATACCTATCCCATCCCGTTCACATGCCAAATGGTCAAGCTAAAAATTGAGGGAGTGCTTTGTTGAACTAGAAATTTTATAAAATACTGCCTGAAATATATAGCCATGGACTGGGACATAGAAATCTTTACAAACTGGTGTTTTATTTTAACAGGATTTGTCTTATTTTAAAGTCCTTATAATTCTCAGGATGAGGCAGGACTGATAAAATCATCCTAATTTTATAGATAAAGAAACTGACTTTAAAAGCCTATGGTGTCTTTTTAACTAGCACTTAAAAATAAGTGAGAATATTTGAGGGGAAGTGGGAAAGAAACATGCTGAAGCCTAATAAATCCCAACAGCTCAAAAAATGGGCCATATAACATTTTTTCCACCATAATGGCAAAGGTTCCACATTCTTAGTATGCTCATCCTCAGCAAAGACCAAATTTGTTAAATGAGGCGGTCCAAGAAGGCCCTGACAAATCAGTAATTTCAATAATGTAGTATTTTGCACAAGGAACAAAGCAACATTGGATAATACTCCTAAAAATCATACTGCATTTCTGGGAAAATTTAAAAAGTGCCAAGTAGATTTTTTTTGTTTAACAAAAATTTTTGGATTCTTCCTGCTGAAACAAGTGATCTTTTCCATCTACTTTTAAATTCTTGGATTTCACCCTCACTTATATGGTCAATTAATCTACAACAAAGGAAACAAGGATATACAAGGGGGTAAAGACAGTCTTTTCAATAAGTGTTGTTGAGAAAACTGGACAGAGACATGCAAAAAGAAAAGTGGATCACTTTCTTACACTACATGCAAAAATAAACTAAAAATGAATTAAAGACTTAAATGTAAGACTTGGAATCATAAAACTCCTATAAGAAAGCAGGCAGTAGCCCAGCTGGGCATGGCTCAGTAGTTGAGCATCGACCTAGGATCCAGGAGATTGTGGTTCAGTTCCTGGTCAGGGCACGTGCCTGGATTGTGGGCTTGATCCCCAGTAGGGGGTATGCAGGAGGCAGCTAATCAATGACTCTCATCATTGATGTTTCTCTCTCTCTCCCTTTCCCTTCCTCTCTCTGAGATCAATAAAAACATTAAACAAAAAAAGAAAGCAGGCAGTAAACTCTCTAATTTCTCTTAGTATTATTTTTTTATGATATATTTCCTGGAGCAAGGGCAACAAAAGAAAAAGTAAATACATTAGACTACATCAAACTAACATGTTTTTGCACAGCAAAGAAAACCATCAACAAGATGAATAGGCAACCTACTGGATGGGAGAACACATTCATAAATGATGCATTTGATAAGGGGTTAGTATCCAAAATATACAAGGAATTCATACAACTTAACACCAAAATATCAAACAATCTAATTAAATAATGGGCAGAGGACCTAAATAGACACTTTTCCAATAAGAACATACAGATAGCCAACAGGTATATGGAAAGATGCTCAACATCACTTATCATTAGGAAAATGCAAATTAAAACCATAATGAGATATCATTTCACACCTGCTAGAATGGTTATTAAAAAATCGACAGTCCTAGCTAGTTTGTCTCAGTGGTTAGAGTGACAGACCATGGGCTCAGTTCTGGTCATGGGCAGGTACTTCAGTTGCAGGCTCCAGCCCTGGTCAGGGTGCATGCAGGAGGCAACCAATCAAAGTGCCTCTCTCACATTGATGTTTCTCTCTCTCTGTCTCTCCCCCTCCCTTCCACTCTCTAAAAAATCAGTGGAAAAAATATCCTCCGGTGAGGATTAACAACAAAAAAATCAACTAACAAGTATTGGTGAAGATGTAGAGAAAAGGGAACCCTCGTGCACTGTTGGTGGGATTGTAAATTGGTGTCGCCACTGTGGAAAACAGTATGGAAGTTCTTCAGAAAATAGAAATTCACCTGGCTGGCATGGCTCAGCAGCTGAGCATCGACCTAGGATCCAGGAGATCACGGTTCAATTCCTGGTCAGGGCACATGCCCAGGTTGTGAGCGCTATCCCCAGCAGGGGGTGTGCAGGAGGCAGCCGATCAATGACTCTCTCATCATTGATGCTTCTATCTCTCTTTCTCCTCTCCTCTCTCTGATATAAATAATTTTTTTTTTTTAATTAGAGCTGCCATATGACCCAGCAATTCCACTTCTGAGTATTTATCTGAAATTAAAAGAACACTGACATATGCAACCTTAGCTTCACTGCAGCATTATTTACAGTAGCCAAGATATAGAAGTAACCTGATCGATAGGTAAATGGATAAAACGTTGTGGTACATACACACAATGGAATATTACTCAACAATAAAAAAGAAATCTCGCCACTGTGACAGTGTAGAAGTAGACAGTATTATGCTAAGTGAAATAAGTTGGATAAAATCAAATACCATATGATTTCACTTATATGTGGAATCTTAGAAAGGAAAACAAATGAACACCAAAAACATAACAGGAACAGTTCCACATACATAAAGAACAAGCTGATGGTTGACAAAGGGGATGGGAGGTGGGGATAATGGGTAAAATAAATAAATAAGAATCACCACAAAGTCAAACCTATTTCAAAGCAAGTAAGAAGAAGCTGAAAAAAATGCTGACAGTCTAGAAATGGAGATGTTCAGATAACGTTTGTCCTTATGGAAAAGTAAATAAACAAATAAATCCATCCTTGGATTTCAAAATAGAAAACAGAGAGGCAGGGCAAGAAACCAACCTGCTAGGGCAGCACTGGAAGATGGAGGGGCCCAGCTCAGGAGGCCAGACTGGGGTCTGAGGGCAGTGCTCTAACACTCACCTCAGGGGTACTGTTTCAGCTTACTGTGAGAAGGTCTGAATTAGTGAGTTGAGGTCCTCCCAGTCTGTGGCTTATGATGCAGACCTCTGATAACTCCCTCAACTCTTCTGATCATTTCTGGATATATAATTGATAACTCCCAGCCCCTGGAGAAAGCATCTGAAACAGAGATGCCAAGGGTTCTCCTGGCCTATCTGTGTCATACCTGAGGTGATGAAATTGTGTTTGAGGAAAATCACTGTTACTGTCACTGGGAACCTGCCTCTGGTTTATGAAACAGAAGGCTCTAGACACCTTAAGGTGAGAGATGGAGAGTCCCAAAGGCCTGCAGGATGCTGTTACCCAAACCATCCAGCCTGGGATTCAAAGTCAGAACTTAGGGGCCGTTAAGAAACAGGGTTAATGAGTGAATTTTTTAGGGGGTGGGGCATGAGAAAGTGAAAACTGTTAATTTTTGTCTACTAAAGTTTCATAAATGGTGTGGTGGTGAAAACAGATAAAAATAGGGAAAGGACGAAGGAACTTGGAAGGTGATGTGAGACATGGCATCATGGGATGGTAGTTTATTTAATCAACCTGTATGTCTTTTCTTACTAGGTTAATAAAGAGCAACAAGGATTATTTGGGTGAATGCCTATTTATTTTTGGAGAGAGTATAGAGCACAAATGCTATGGTCTCTATAAGATTTATCAAGGTGCCTGCACCAAAGTTAGAATACTTTATTGATTCACCTCTTCATAGTAAGGGGTCCAATATGTTGTTTATATGGATAATTTGATATAAATTTATGTAATTTCTATAAAGATATAATCATTTAAAATATACTATAAGATCTTAATTTTTTTCAGGAAACTTCTAAATAATACTTTGCAAAATGAAGAATCTTTTGGTATAATTCACAGGGTCAACTTGATCTTTTCTGAATATGCAAATTTTCATTATCCATCAATCTGGTATTTTTTTATGCCCCAAGGACACTAAATTAATACCAGACGCCTGCCCTGGCCAGGTGGCTCAGTTGGTCGGAGTGTCATTCCATGCACCAAAAGGGTTCTGGGTTCCATTCCTGGTCGGGGTGCGTATGGGAAGGCAACTGATTGTTTCTATTTCAGTTCTCTCCTACATTGATGTCTCTCTCTCCCTCTCTTTCTCTCTCTCTCTCCCCCTTCCTCTTTCTAAACATATCCTCCGGTGAGGATTTAAAAAAAAAAAAAAAACACCAACACCTGCCACTTCCCTGACTCCTCACCTGGGCACCAAAAGTCCTGATCCAAGCTCTTCTCTCTTCCTGCTGCCAGATGCCCATTTTCTTCCAGTGAGAGGGCGCCCTTGGAGACCGAGAATGTATTTCCCACCTTCTGGGCCAGGTCCCCAGTGATCAGAGACACCAGGCCTCTCGTCTGAGTCCCTGGACCCCTCTCAGCCTTCAGTTCCTCCGCCTTCAGTTCCTCCATGGGGTCAGCACTCCGGGAGCTCAGGAGCCTCATCCGAGACATGGAGCTCACCTCTTTCATCCTCATCAAGCGGTCAGGGTCAGCTCTCCGGGGGGGGGATGCCAGTTTCTCTTGTAAACTTTCAATCACTCTGGAAGTACTTCTGAGCCTCTTTTCTGAGCCTGCCACACTTGGAGTCCTTTCTATAAAATGGAACAAAGTGGACCTGAAGGGTGCTTCTGTCCCCATGTCCTTGTGATTTAAGGGCTTGGACTCCAGGTCACTGGGCTGAGACTCAGGGTCAGCAGGCTTGCTGGGGACAGCCCTGTCCACACATGAGCTCTCAGAAGTCCATGCAGCCTGTGGGGCACTGTCCCTTTCCCCTACGAACAGAGGGCTTTTGGTCCAGCCACACTTTCTCCTGCCATAAAAGGCATCAGTGGACATTGTGGGGTCATTTGGCTGTGCTGGACAGGACACTGGTTCCTCCCTAGGTGACACCAACCTGCGAGCACTGCCATCAGGCTCAGGGGGCTGGTTATGTCCTGTTCTCCTGGCGACCGGCAGCAGGGACTCCATAGCCACTTCGATGCCCAGGATCCTTGCAGCCCTCACTTGAAGGGACTCATTTGGAGAGATTTCTATTGTACTCGTGTCACCTGAACACCCATCTAATTTACTGGCACTCCATTCTTGTGCCGGGGTCAGCCCCACGGACCTCAAATCTGGTACTGAGAGTTGGAGAGGTTTGCTGGCAAGAGAGAGTGGGACCACCGTGCTCCTCTCCTCCCCACCACCAGGCTTGGGGGGTTCTGCTTTGCTCCACTCCACAGACTTTAAAACACCAGGGTGTTCCTGCCTTTCCTGGGGCTCCCTCAGTTCAGCTAAATCAGATGAAGACACAATGTCATTTGACCTAGAAGATGTGATTCTTTTCACAGGACCTGGGCTGACTGCTAGATCTTTTATTCTTTTCCCAATCTCCTGGTTTCTCCTCTCTGTAATCAAGCTTCCCTGTGTTGACAGCAACACTTCCCCTCTGCTGCCCTCCACTTGTGAGGGGCCCGGGCACTGAGGACAAGCACCCTGGTGGCTGGTGGTAGGCTTCTGCTCCTCACTCCAACTCTCAGACTTACTCTTAACTCTTCCTGACCTAAACACAGGCTCCTGTGGCACCAGCCTCCTTGGAGGTTCCTCCGCTCTCCTTTCCTGGCTGTCTTCACTGAAGCCCAAATTCCTGAGTGTGCAGGCAGGATGGCCCTCTGGCTGCCATTCTGTCTCACTGCTCTCACTGCCACTGCTGCTGTGACTGCTCTCTTCCTCTTCCTGAAGCTCCTTATTAAAACTTTCTAACTGACTTATCAAATCCCAAGGACGGCGGCTAACTGGTTTTAAAAGAAACTGACCAAACAGCTGTTGACTATTGCATGGACCTGTGGTTGCCCCCTTCACTACCTCTCCTCTGGGCACACGGCTGGCTCCACGTCCACAGTCATCCACGCAGGGCTGGCTCTGGCCCACTTTTGGCACAGGGGCCTGGTTTGTGAATAAGGAAGTCCTTGAAAAAGCACTGTAGCTAGAAGGGTTGAGGGACACTTGACCTTTTAGGTGATGAACGTTTGGCCTCTGGTTTTGGTCACTGGAATCTAATGCCATGTGCATCTGAGCTTCGGAGGCAGTAGGGTCTAGAAATTTTGGAGTCAGCACTGCATTAGGTGACTCTCCCAACTTCTCAGCAGTGGGGGGCTGCAGGCTTTTGGATTCTTCTGTGAAAGTGGTTTGTGTTTGCTTATCTTTGTACTGGTGCCCTGGCCACGAGCCAGAATGCTGGAGTACTCTGTGTTTCATGGGGTGAATGAATCTGAGGTCATCTGTTTGTTTGTCTTCTTCTGGTTTCCCCAGATCTTGTTTTTGGAACTCTGTTCTCCCAGCCATGCTTCCTGTGAGAGCTTGCAGCTCCAGGTCGGTGGAAGACATGCTCAGCAGACTTTGTTCTTGCAGAGCCGGGCCCTTATCAGGCCCATGCTTCTTATCAGCATTCTGTTTTAAGTCATTGTTGTTCGTATCTGTATCTGGCAGATGTGATTCTGATTTCACTGGGATGGAAACCAAACAAAATATCGTCTCGTTCATTTTTTTCTTTGAACTTTTCTTGGTCTGAATCCCAGTTTCAAACTTTTTGAGCTTGGTTTGGGTTTCACAGGTACTCTCTCCCTGTGGGTTTGGGGAGGGGACTTGGCTTCCTGTTTGTCCATGCTGGCTGCCTCTCACATCAGGCCACTGTCCTCTCATAACACAGTGGTCTCTCTGGTCAGGAAAGCCACCATTTTCTCCATCCCTGGGGATCTGGCCCCACAGCCACCGGGGGCTGAGATCCACAAGGGTAGGGCCTTTCTCACTCCCTGACGGGGGCATGATGCTCTGTGGGTTCAAAACAGCACCATCATGGTGCATGTTTCCATGAGCTGGCTCTGGGACAGAGACTGGAACAGAGTTGTACAATTTCTCATCCACCTTTGTTTCTTCACAGAAGCCCTGGGGTTGGGCCAGTTTAATATGTCGGATCCGTGGGTCATCAAAGGGAATATACTCAACAGAGCCGTCGTAAGCAGTGATGCGATGGGGCTGATGCGGGAACTTTTGAGGAGTGAGTGGGCCTACACCACATTCATTTCCAGTCCCAAGGGAACCAGAAGGAAGCTGGCAGCTGGCAGCAGCCTCCTCAACCGGATGACAGCGACCATCACACACATGCCTGGGGGCCGCATCCTCCAAGTAGGGGTTTGTGATGATGTGCTGGGGTGGTGACCTGTACGATGGTGGAGGCACGTACACTGGAGGCTCCAAACCAGAGTCGGGCAGGCCGACCTCCTGCCTGGAGTCGCTAGTCTTGGGCATGTAGGAAACACTCAGATCTGTCTGTTGGCTCTCCAGATCGTCGCTATTTTCCACTCCTCCCCTGGAGTGTTGGTAGGAGTCATAGGATGGAGGCTTGAGGGGTCTCCCAAATTTTGGCCACAGTAAAGGGACCAAGGAGCCACCCTTCTCAGGGTTCCTTGTGGATTCCAAATTTGGTGCATAATCTGGAGGGTAAAATGGCATTTTAGGGACACCTGATAAATGCCCATCACTGAACGGAATTTCCATGCAACTCAGGCTCTTGGGGGAGAGAACTCTAGGCAAAGACCGGGATTTCCCTTTGCTTTGGGAATTCAACACGTGTTCTCCTCCCATAAATGGGTTCAGATCTTGAAACAGTTTCTCCCTGTCACCATCAGACATCTGCCTTCCTAACTTCCTTGGCTGGTTCCAGCTTTCCAGGTTCACATTCCGCCACTTGGCAGGACCTGCCGTTCTCAACTCTTCCTCCCAAACCACCTTCTTCATCACATTCTCTGTCCTTCCTCCAACTTCCCATGGGCCCTCCCTCGTGTGGATGGGCAGATTGAGGGCTTGGGCCACTCCTCTGACCTCCAGGTCTTCTCGGTCTCTCGGACCCAGCAAGCCACTGACCTCCTGTCCTCTTCTCCAATAGACGTGCTTATGACCACTCTGGTGCTGAGAGGACCATGCCAGCATGGGGTGATGATAAAACCTACAAAATAAGAGGCATGGAAGTTAAACCAAGGGAGGAAGCACACACTGCTTCTGTGACTGGTGATCCAAGTCAAACATGGGTCAGTACTTTTGAAAAGTAGATTCCCAACTAGAGTACTTGTCAACTTTAAAGAAAACACATCCCACTAATTATGGCTGGAAGGCAGCCACATGTTTTGCCATCCAAGGGCCTAGGAGTGGCAGCAACAAGCTGCCCACAGACATCAGGACACTGGTTATAGTTGAGAGATGTCAAGGCCCTTATAACTTTGAATGCCCAAGGGAACAAGGGTAAACCTGAGGTCTTGGGCCACTGGGAGTTCATTCCCAGCTCAGTCCAGACCACTGAGCTCTCGGAAGCAAGTATGAGAACCTGCTTTTCACAATCCCACCCTATAGCAGTGGTTCTTAAACTTCAACGTGTGCAGGAATCAGGAGAGGGTTGCTGAGGCACAGACTTCTGGGACCCATCCCCAGTTTCTGATTTAGCAGGCCTGATGGGGCTCCATAAAGTACATTTTAAATTATTATTTAAGTTTCAGGTGTATAACATTATAATTCAATACTATAAAGTTATCAGCCCCAAAAGTCTAATTACTATCCATCACCATATAATTGATTCCCTTCCCACCTCTGGCCCACCCCCAACCTTCTTCCCTTCTGGTAACCACAGATCCGTTCTCTGTATCTATGAGTTTGTTTTTGTTTTGTTGTATACAGAAACAATGAAATACTACTGAGACATAAAAGAAAAATAAAATCTTGCCATTTGCGACAATATGGATGAACCTTGAGTATATAATGCTAAGTGAAATTAGTCAGAGAAAGGCAGATACCGCATGATCTCTCTCATATATGGACCATAGTGAGCATTTCTAACAGGTCCCCAGGTGATGCTGATGCTGCTGGTCCTAGTACCCACTCTGAGAACCATCACTGCCCGTGGTTGTCAACCATGACTGCACGTTAGAATCTGGAGGAACATCATAGCTTCAGATGCTTAGGAAGTATCCCAACTCCATCACCTTAGAATCGTGGAGGCAGGAGGAGGACCAGGCATCAGCATTTTCCAAGGTCCCCCAGGAATTCCCAGTGTGTGGCTGAGACAGAACCACATGGCTCTAGCAGAGTTCCCACAATTCCCTCATGTGGGCTCATTAAAGACACACATTACCAAGTCTCTCCCCCTGGAAGTCAGCCTCAAGTATGGGTTAGGGTCTAGGCAGCTCTTTTGGTTTTTTTTAATCCTCACCTGATATGTTTTCATTGATTATTAGAGAGAGAGGAGGGGGGAGAGAGAGAGAGAGAAACATCAATATGAGAAAGAAACATCTATCGGTTGCCTCCTATATGTGCCTTGATCAGGGATCAAACCCACAGCCTTTTGGTGTATGGGACAACGCTCCTATCAACTGAGCCACCTGGCCAGTGCCAGGAGGCTGTATTTTTAACAAGCACTCCAGGGGGAAGTCTTCCCTTTAGACAATGTGGTAAATACTTCCAGTGCTGACTCTGAGATTGACCAGAGGAAGAGGGTGCTCTGTTCATGGGCAGAACTCTCTGCCAGGCAGGAAATGTAGCACAGTCTGGTATAAATGCCGGCCTAGCTCCAGGTTGCTGTTCACCACCTGGCTGCACATGAGAATTTCCTTGTGAGCGTTTGAAAAATAGCAATTCCCAGGGCCTACCCCCTTATATTTGGATCTAATCAGTCTAGCAAGGAGCCCACCACTAGTATATTTTAATATCTTCTCAAATGAGTCTAGCATTCACCCAAAGTTTAAAATCACTGTTCAAATGCAGCTGAAGAAAAAATCTGAACAACACTGTTATACTACACAGAAATATTAAGTGACTGCCTAAAAATCACCAGAGATTAGGACTTTAACACAAAAAAGCCATTAACTGAAAGGAAGCTTGGGGTACTCAATCATTTTGATTAAATAGAAAAAGTTTCAAATTTAAAACTGTTGTTTGCTTTTTGAATTATAAAAGTAATATGTATTCATTGCTGAAATTTTGGAAAAATATAGGAAAGTAAAATACCAAACAGCAGTTACAATCTTTCTACCCAGAGACTGTTATTTTGGTATCTTCTAGTCTGTGTGTGTGCAAGGATATGGATTTTCAAATTAACCTTAGTATTCTACTAGGAATCTGTTTTATGTGAACATTCCTTACCATTTGTAGTACAAACAACTGACACATAGCTGTTACTATGTGCTAGGTCCATACTAAGTATGTTCTAGACATACACTCACTTATGCTTCACCAGCATTCCTCTGAGGTAGAGGACTATCCTCATTCCTATTTTACAAAGGAAGAAACTGAGACACAAAAGTTAATTTGCTTAACACTAACATTTTGGGGGCATTTATGCTGTGTCAAGCATTGTGCAAAGCATGCTAAATGAATCTTTCCTTAACTCTATAACCACCATTATTTCTCCCTTTTATAGATAAGGAAGCTTGAAGCACAGAGAGGTTAAACAACTCTCCCAAGTCACACAGCTTGTAAGTAGTGGGGGGAAAGAATTCAAACCCAAGAAGTGTGACCATAAAGCCCATTCAGTTAGCCACTGTTTTACGTCTTCCAATGTAATGAAAAATTCTTCAAGTGCATAATTTTAATGGATTAGTATTCTATCATATGTAATGATTTATTTAACCACTGTTGGACATTTATGTAGATTACATTCTAAAGCACTTTGAGAAACACTATTGTTCACAAACACTAAGCATGTCTCAGAATAATTCCCTATGTTATCCGTATTGTCAAATCTGACCTCAGATCAGCCATTCCCATTTGTCCTCCCCGGGGTAGGGCGGAGGAGAGCTGGTCATGCTGAACCTTTCCCATCTCTGGTTATTACAATTATTTTATTTGTTTTGTTTTGTTTTTAAAATATATCTTTATTGATTCAGAGAGAGGAAAGGAGAGGGAGAGAGAGAGAAAGATCAGTGATGAGAGAGTCATTGATCAGCTGCCTCCTGCACGCCCCCGACTGGGGATAGAGCCCGCAACCCGGGCATGTGCCCTGACCAGGAATCGAACCCCGATTGCCTGGATCCTAGGTCAACGCTCAACTGCTGAGCCATGTCCGGCTGGGCACAATCATTTTGTTGTTGTTGTTATTACTAGGTAAGTGAAAATAACTTCTCATTGGTTTAGTTTGCATTTCTTTGATCAATAGTAAGGTTAATTTTTTTCATGTGTCTGCAAGTCATTGGTGGTTTCAAACGGTTTCTACAACACAGTCCATTTTTCAGCACGATAGAGTGAAGATGGCAGGGAACAGAGAGAGGCTCCTAGGCCACTAGTTCTGTGCAACCACAGCATGTAAAGGCCCGGGAACATGGCAGCTGAGGGGACTGGGCTGGAGGAGAACCACTCCCAGCACGTAGGCGGAAGGCTGCTGGTCTGCAGAAGCCTAGCTGGTAAAAGAATAGTAAAAATCTATTGTTATTATTATTTTGGAATTACTTCTTTGCCTTAAAAAGTGAGTGTAGTTCTTCAAATCCTGTCTCCATTCCCACCCTCGATAACTTATTAAGCAGCCACTTAAAGTAAGGTTGAGTTATGGGTTGAAAAAGTAGAAAGTATTTAAAGTCAACCTGAGGGAAAGCATTGGCCACTGAGCAGCCTAAATGCTTCTGCATTTACTACTCATACATAGTGCAAGCTGTCTTAACATTGGGCCTGGTTGAAGGCCAATTTCTTTGTTGCTTTTGCTGTCATCAAAATCAGGTTTTGAACATTTAGCTTTTGAATGCTTAGTAGAGCACTTCATGGGTCAGGTTCTGTAAGGATTAGTCATTGCATAGCAGCAGGGAGGAGGGCTTGCACATCTCCCCCCACCACACACACACTGCTACTCACCCAGGTGAGCCAGTAATCACAGTCCAGAATTCTGGAAGCCACAGTCCCTTCCCTTAGAAAATCCTCTGTGACTCCCATCCATAGCCTGAGAAACACCATAGAAGATGAACCATTTAAAAGTCCTCAGCACCTACTGGCTATAGGGTCTTAGACTCCATGGAAAGTCCAAGGGCAAGACAAAAACTGGAAATTAATAAGAAGTGTCAATTGTCATAGATTCAATTAAGAGAGAGTAAAATAAATCATTAGGGAGTATGTGGTTGACGCCCTATGTCAGAGTTTACTTTCTCGGCTGATGATGTTTTTTTAATCATCACCCAAAGAGATTTTTTCCATTGCTTTTCAAAGAGAGTGGAAGGGAAAGAGAGGGGAAGAGAGAGAGAAACATCGATGTGAGAGAGAGAGATCAAGTGGTTGCCTCCCCCATGCACCCCGACAGGAGATGGGGATTGAGCCTACAACTGAGGTACATGCCCTTGACCAGAATAAAACCTGAGACCCTTGAGTCCCATAGGCCGACACTCTAACCACTGAGCCAAATCGGCCAGGGCCCATATAGCTTTAATAAGCACCACACACACTACACTCCTTATGGTCTTACAAACATTTTCCTGGGGTGCACGACTTTATGGAAGAAACCATACTATGTGGCTTCTGCTCATTTTCTCAATCAGTATTCTGGTTTCTTGGTAATACTGATTGTGTATCTAAATGCCAAGATGTGGCTGAAATCCCAAGATGCTACTTGTCTAGCTATGTGCCATGAGCATAATCAGAAGACAAAGAGACATAAATATGACAAGAAAATAAACAGACTGCAACTACCTGCACAAGTAATGTGGTCAGTTTCCTTCCCCTCCCCAAAATGTTACATTGTCACCTTAACTTTGTCAAAACTGTCATATATAACTAATCAAAATGGTTAAACATTCTGGGTTAAACCTTTTCTATTTGCACAATGCACCTAAATCCCAATTTAAGGAACACACAGGTCATCTGGGAAATTTTAAATAATCTATTTTAAAAATAGTTCACATGACATAAAAACTATAAATCATTTATTTAATAAACATCTATATTTGTACCTAGTACGACCCTGGCTTTGAAAGGCACAAGTGA